CCGCTAATTTTTTGCATTTTTAGTAGAGACAGGGTTTCACCGTGTTAGCCAGGATGATCTTGATCTCCTGATCTTGTGATCCACCCACCTCGGCCTCCCAAAGTGCTGGGATTACAGGCGTGAGCCACCGCGCCCGGCCAAAACATATATATCTTATATACTTTTTATATAGAAAAGTTTTGGGTCAGGCTGCTTATTTTTTAACAGTGTGATCCAAGGCCAGGGACGGGAACTCACACCTGTAATCCCAGCACTTTGGGAGGCCGAGGCAGATGGATCAGAAGGTCAGGAGATTGAGACCAGCCTGGTCAACATGATGAGACTCTGTCTCTACTAAAAATACAAATAATAATAATAATAATAATTTGCCGGGAGTGGTGGTGTGTACCTGTAATCTCAGCTACTTGAGGCAGGAGAATTGCTTGAACCCAGGAGGTGGAGGTTGCAGTGAGCTGAGATCATGCCACTGCACTCCAGTCTGGTCAGCAGAGCAAGATTCCGTCTTAAAAAAAAAATCAAAATTTATAGGATTTAACTAAAGCAGTGCTTAGAAGAAAACTTATAGCTGTAAACACCTATATTTAAAAAGAAGAAAAAACTCAAATCAATAACTCAAACTTCCACTTTAAAACACTAGAAAAAAGGAGCAAATTAAACCTAAAGGAAGCAGAAGAAAGAATAAAGATTAGAGCAGAAATAAATGACATAGAGTACAGAAAAACAATAAAAGGAAATAAAATCAAAAGTTGGTTATTTGAAAAGATCCACACAATTGACAGACTTTTATCTTAACACCAAGAAACAAGCAAAAAGACTCGAATTACTAAACTCAAGAATTATAAAAGTTTAAGAACATTGTAGGATACAAGATCCATAGACAAAAATCAATAGTATTTCTATACACTAGCAATGAACAATCTTAAAAAAACTTAAATAAATAATTCCATGTATAGTATCATCAAGAAATAAAAATATTTATGAATATATATTTTTTAAAAAGTTCAATAGACCAGGCACAGTGGCTCATGCAGGTAATCCCAGCACTTCGGGAATCCAACATGGAAGGATCACTTGAGCCCAGGAGTTTGAGACCAGCCTGGGTAGCATCACGAGACCCTGTTTCTACAAAAAAAAAATTTTTTTTAATTAGCCCAGCATTATGGAGAGCACTTGCAGTCCCAGCTTCTTGAGAAGCTAAGACAGAAGAATTAGTTGAGTCCAAGAGATGGAGACCATAGTGAGCCATGATCATGGCACTGCGCTCCAGCCTGGGTGAAAGACTGAGATCCTGTCTCAAAATATAAATAAAAAATAAATAAATAAATAAATAAGTGTAAGCCTTTTTTACTGAGAACTATAAATTATAACTTAAAAATTAAAGACAAATAAATGAATAGAAAACAATATTGTTTAAGACATTAGTACTCTCTAAACGTATATATAGTTCAGTGCTATCCACATTTAAATCCATATTTAATATGTATCTATATTCAAGCTGTTTTTTTCCAGATATTGACAAACTGACCTTAAAATTCAAGTAAAAATGCAAGAGATTTTTTTTCTTTTCTTTTTTTTTTTTTTTTTGAGATGGAGTCTTGCTCTGTCACCCAGGCTGGAGTGCAGTGTGCAATCTGAGTTCACTACAGCCTCTGTCTCCTAGGTTCAAGCATTTCTCCTCCATCAGCCTCCCAAGTAGCTGGGATTACAGGCACCCACCACCACACCTAGCTAATTTTTGCATTTTTAGTAGAGACAGGATTTCACCATGTTGGCCAGGCTGGTCTTGAATTCCTGACCTCAGGTGATCCACCCACCTTGGCCTCCAAAAGTGCTGGGATTACAGGCGTGAGCCACAGCACCCAGCCGCAAGAAACTCTTAAAATACAAAGCAGCTCTGAGAAAGGAGAATAAAATTAGAGGATTCCCACACCTAATTTCAAATCATCCTACAAAGTGACAGTAATTAAGACAATGTAGTAATGGCATAAAAATAAGCATATAGATCAGTGCAATAAAATTTTAAATCAAGAAAGCAACCCTCACATTTGTGATCATTTCATTTTCATTCAATGAGAGAAAATAGCCTTTTCAATGAATGGTGTTGGACATCAATAAATTGATGAATGGATTGCTAAACAAAATGTATCATACCCATACAATGGAATATTATTCAGTAATAAAAAAGAATGAAGTACCAATATATAGCGTGACTGAACCTTGAAAACACAATATAGAGTCAAAGAATCAATAACAAAATGCCACATATTATATGACTCCCATCTATATGAAATATATAGAATAGGCAAATTCATAGAGATAGGAATTAGATTGCTGCCAGGGCCTAAGGTGAATATATTTGTTAGAGTGAGCAAACCTTAAACAATAGTAGGCCCTATTTAGGTAGTTTTTGTAACTAGTGGGTCTTGAATTCCACAGGATATGCTCTCAGGATGGGAAGATGAATAAAGTAAGGGAGAGCAAGGATAAATTGCAACCCACAACATAAGCTGGACCCATGAAGATGGTCTGAAGTCTGTGTCGGCTCTTCTTGTCCTTGACTTGGGTTGTACGGATAGCCTGCAGGGGAAGCTCATGCCTTTTGTCATGGAGCTAAAAACACACATAATTCCTAATACATGCAGAAGCAGGAGGATAGAGGGGAAGGTGAATCAGTTGCACGGCTCTCCCACAACAATGAGATGAGTCAGCAGGTAAGCTATATTAAGCATAAACTGTACAATGGAAGCCCTTTCAGTTCCACCCACCACATCTTAAACAAGAATTTCTCTTGTGACCCAACCTTACTGGACAAATACAGGGAAGCAAATTTTGGGAAACAGTTCAGCCTAACCGAGTTGAAACATGATATAACCACCAAAGACACCTTTTAAAAAGAAGAGAAAAGGGAATCGAGTGGGAAGATGTTAAAACAGTCTACCAAACCATAATAATAGTAACATCAATAAAAGTCATGTAACATTAACAATAGTCCTGAGACTATAATATAATAACATATCATGATAGAATATAATAAAGAATTCAGAACAGAAGCATGCATATTTAGAAACTTGGTGTATGATATACATGACATCACAAACAAGCAGTAGAAAGATGGATTATTTAATAGACGGTGTTGTGGAAGCCACCTTGGTATATAAAGAAAAGAGAAATTGAAACTGTAAGTCCTAGAAAATTCCAAATGAATTAAATAACTAAATATGAAAGGTAAATGTGCAAGACTATCATTTTTATCTTGGTGTGTAAGCTTTGTATATTATCTACCAATTCAAATTTACTCATTGTCTTGTACCTCTGTGCTTATTTTCTTCAAGACGAGTCATAGTTTTCAAATAAATCATGACTGTGTTAATATAACAAATTCCTTATGAGAAATCATGAATTATAAACATATTCATTAGTGTATTAGTCTGTTCTCTTGCTGTGAATAAAGACATACCCAATATTGGGTAATTTATAAAGAAAAAGAGGTTGAATGGACTCACAGTTTCACGTGGCTGGGGAAGCCTCACAATCATGGCAGAAGGCAAAGAAGGAGCAAAGTCATGTCTTACATCACGGCAGGTAAAAGAGAGCTTGTGCAGCAGAACTCCCCTTTATAAAATCATCAGATCTCATGAGACTTATTCACTATCACGAGAACAGCACAAGAGAGACCTACTCCTGAGATTCATTTATCTACTACTGGGTCTCTTCCATGACACATGGGAATTATGGAAGCTACAATTTAAGATGAGATTTGAGTGGGGACCCAGCCAAACCATTTCAACTAGCATTTAATTTTGTATTGCAAATCTATACACAGATTTACCACATTTGTTACCATTTTTTTTGTCATGTATAATTTTAAGAAGACTAATGTGCATGTTATTGGTTGAATTATGCTCTCCCTACAAAAAAAAAAAAAAAATGAAGTCCTATCCCAAGTAGTTCATAATATTTGGAAGCAGAGTCTTTACAAAGACTCTACAGAGCTAATCAAGTTGAAATGAAGTTATTAGAATAAGCCCTAATTCAATATGACTAATATCTTTATAGAAAGGAGAAATCTGGATACAGAGACAGATACACACAGGGGAGGCTCTTTGAAGGCAGAAAAAACATGATGTGACGATAAGATTGAGGGAATGCATCTACAAGCCAGGAAGCACGAAAAATTATCAGCAAACCACCAGCAGCTACAAGGAGGCAAGGAAAGATTCTCTACAGGTTTCAGAGTGGGAATAGCTTTGTCTACACCTTGATTTTTGACTTTTAGTCTCCAGGACTGTGAGATAATGAAGTTCTATTGTTTTAAACCACCCAATGTATGAGACTTTGTCAGTCCTATGAAGCTAAAATAGTACATTATAAAAATTATTATATTAATGCACATACTGCAAAATTAAAAATATACTATATTTAGGTCTTCTATACATGTACATATTAATATTATTTTAAAAATGATATCAGAATAATTTGAAATAAACATAAAGGCCAACAGTTTTGTTCTGATAATCTCTGGGCTGCTACTGAAGGAAGTAAAAGGAAATGTACTCTTCTTGTCAAACTGAGCATTATAATTATTCTTTTAACATGTGATCTTCATAAAACAGTTAACTGTAAATATACTGACTAAAATATATGTAACAATACTTTGGATATTACAAATATGTAACGTTTGGAGATTTTATATATAATGTTTGGGGATCTTTAACAATCAGACCCCCAAAACCCCCAAGTATAATATTTTTTAATAAAAAATAGAATAGATGAGATGCTGACTTGAAGAAATCATGTTTAATAGTGTTGTTTTATTTATTACGGCATCCAGATAGGAAAAATATGCTTAGGTGCTGAGGCATTCTATGAACTCTTTAAGTTATAACAAGTAGGCTTCTACCTATATAAATCAGTACTGGATAATGGGTCAAAGGAGAAAATACTAGCATAATCATGAACATGGAAACTTTCCCATTTTTTTTTATTCAACCACAGTTTGATGCAGCACACAAGGGCAATGGAGCTCTGAAGATGGTACATTGCTGCTTGGTGACCATCAAGACAGTAGAAACTAAGGATATTTAAACCTTTAGCATAAGTTGTGATACTTGGACTTTTTCTTCCCTACCTCAGTGATCAAGCTACATAAAAGAGCCCCAGGTTCCCTCGTGCCAACATGGTGAGACTATGTTAATGAATCTTGATTCATGTGCCCTGGGGTTTGGGAAAGTTACAGAAATCGATGACCACATGTTACCTGGAAATCATAATGACACAATACTCCCTAGAAGTGCCTTTTAGTGTGAGGCAAAGAAACAAGATTATTGTAGAAATGACCACGACTCTTAAAGTTTGGTGGCCCAAAGATGCTGAGTTTCCCTGTGGGTCATAAAGACCCTAGAGAAGGTAACAGGTTTGAATCATTCTGAAAGGACTGCCTTGAAAGCGTGACACTTCTGCACAAAAAGATGGAGGAAAAAGTAGTAAGGCCCAGTGTTTTCATCACTAATTCAGGGAATAGTGTTATGGAGTGGTGGTGGTTGGGGGTGTTAGGACAGGATATAGGAATTAAAGAGAATGCGGTACATTAAATTATTACCCAGAAATATTCACATTCTCTTGTCCTCACTTTCAAGGAAAGAATATGTTCTCCGTTGATGTTGGGCTTACCCATGTGATTTGCTTTCACCTTTGAAATGACAGTAGATATGCTATAACATATATTTTAAATATGCTTGTACACTCACATTAACCCATCCTTTCTTATGCCTTTGCATTATCAAGAGAAGAATGTGACTCAGAAAGCCCACTCATCCCAAAGACAGGATGAAGATGAAAGAGGGGTGGAGCTGAGTCACTCCTAGGTAAACCAATCTAGATTAGTGAACTATACCAGTCAAACCACAGACTTCTAAGAGATCATAATTGGTTGTTGTTTTAAACCATCGTGTTTTAGGCTGTCCTGTAATACAACAATAACTAATTGACACAAGGAGATGCTCCAAAGAGCCTAAGAAAGTGTCCTGCAAGAGAAAAAGCCAGATTTGATGTTAACTAATAGTAAACTGGACTAGAATTTTTAATATCTGACAAAAGACAGTTGCAATACCCACAGGTGACTAGATAGCTGCTGTAGGTTCTCTCCAGGATATTGATCAAAGACGGGAAAGGTAAAACCATCAGAGATGGTTTCTAGTGGGATATTTTAGGTATATATGAGTAGGTATACAAATTAAAGTTATACTTTATTTCATTTCAGGAATAATTGCTTTAAAAAGGTGAAATGAGGAGCCACAGTAGAATATACTCACCCCAAAGTAAGTCATCCTTCCACAAAATCATCCATTAGGTTAATTTATTCCCTTACAATTGGTAGGGTAGTTTTGATAATTTATGGCCACATTATAGCCCTCATCTACTAGGCAATAAAGTTACATATCAATTCTAGATAAGTAGTTTGATTTAATCCATGGTGTCTTTACCCAAGAAACAAAGGTTTTTGCATATTATTAAATTAAAATAATTTTAGTAACCCACTAATTCAATCGATTTTTCATTATATGGGGTAATTTTAGACTTTATGTTCATATTTTTAAAATATGAAAATTATGAAAATGGTAATTATGTAAGTATAGAGTTATCATAGCTGTAGTAATAATTAGAATATGAAATAAAATACAACAGTATAAACTCAGTTTGTCTTTGCAATTTTGATGTCAATTTGTTTAATTTACTAGGTTTAATTTACTTTCACTTCAGGATAGATGTCCCTTGCTTCCTTGAGAGTGGAGCTCTCTAATCCTTTCTATCTGTAGTGCACCAGAGGTGATCTGCTCTTGCCTCTAGTCCATCACAGATGGAGAATTCCCAGGAATAAAAAAGTAGATACTATTTTCTTTCCCTGCTGACTGCTGCTATATCTACCTGGGGGAAAAGCAAAACCAACCAACCGACAATAAACTGCTATATGGGGGTTACTTTGTCCTTTTATTGAAGGGTGCTATACATGCCCTAAAGCAGCTCAGAATAGAACTTGGACCTGTCTCTTTGTCTAACCTCTCATGGAAGGGGCTGTGAGAGGTGAAGTCACATAGGAGAAATTAATCTCCTTGAATATCTGTATACTCAAGAATAAATACATTCCTTGGGGGAAAAGTAACCTAAAATAAAAGAGTAAAGAAGTAAAATTGATTTAAAAATGTGGCATCTGTATTGGAAAAAGACAGATTGCTTCTTCTGTAAAGCTGTTGGCTCTCATTAGATTATCCTGTGCCTGTGCCCACATCTCTGAACTTATGTTTAAACTCCAGAAAGAGAAAGCTGCAATGAAAGCAGAAGAAAAGCTTTAGTGGCAGTTACTTTAAATTTTACGTGAGACAATGAAAGCACTACTTGTGGTTTTATAACTGAGAACAATTTTTGTAGTACAAGTGCAACACATAGTGTCTATTCAGACCCGTTTACTTTCAGAATAGAAAACAGGAACTGGGTCTTGGCACTTTGAGCATGAGTGGTGCTGCCTTTGGTGCAGGTCTTGATGATGTGGCAGTAGATACCACATGAAAATAGAGCAGAAATGTGAAAAACCACAGACGCAGAAGGAGATAACTCTGATAAACACTTGGTGAGTAGGTAGGAGACACTGTCCTAAAGATTAAAAAAAAAAAAAAATACTATCAGGGTGGAATTTGGGGGAGCTGCCATTCCTGCAGAAATGAGAGAAACAAAGCAAGAGAAATCATCTTTGTTTGTTCAAAAACGGTATTATGATTCTATGAATATGCCCAGGTTGGTGTCATCTGCTTAAACACAATGAAGCTACTGACTTGATATAATTACATAGAGAAAATTTGGAAACTATAAAAAAGAGGTAAGGCCACAAAAAAGCTGTCTGCTATAACATAGTTCTAATCTTTGGACATTTAATGGAGAAAATAGATTTGGATCAAGGGAAACATCAGAACCATGTAGTTGCTGCTATATCATATTTTTAAAGGTGAACTGTGAGATCATCCATTTCTGATTTAAAAGTGTTTTGCACATTGCTCCTTTTCTGATGTGAACTACAAAGTTGAAAGGGAACATTAAAAAATGAAAATTGACAGATGTAAATAGGAAAATGACTGCAAAAGAATAAATAGGGTTATACAATGAAAATTTCTGATATAATTAATACTAAGAGAACTACAAAGAGCAATTTAATAATAATATGTAGATATTTTAACATAGGCAAGGAAGAGAATAAGTTATTCTTTGTTACCAGTATGTGCCAAAAAATGATATAGCTGAAATTCCTATCCAGGTCTTCCTGCCTCTAAATCTACTGCTTTTGCCGCTTCACAGGTTGCCTCAGAGTTGCTGAAGTCACTCTTACTGCCTCATGGTTGCTCAGACCTCCACTTCAAGAACAGGTGATTTGCTTCACTTTAAACAATTTTTTTTTGTTTTATTATTTCTGAAAGTTTGAGAATGAATAAATTGAATTTTTAAGAATGATCAAATGCACAAGGTGATCTTGCTTTTCATAACTTAACAGATTCTTATAGGACATAAATAATATCAACTTATTTATATGCATTATAATTTTTAAATTTATACATTATGATTCATTAAAGATTATTGCAACCTATAGAATGATGTTTACTCAAAAGACTAAATAAGAAAGATTAGCAAAAAAATTTGAAAGGGAAAACAAACATTTTTGTTCCTTTATTCATAAAATGCACTCAGTGTCACAAACGCTATATTGTAAGAATTGTGTTTAAACCAATCACTTACTGGAAAATATGAAGGGTAGATGATGCACATAAGTAATGAGAAATGCAGAGAGAAAAAATAGCAGTATCTTTTTCAAATATTTGTTATTAGTATCTAGGGATATGCTTGGGGAAAACTCTAATAGAACTTATTTGCAAATTTAGAAATATTAGATCTATTACAAAACCAGATCTACACAGATACAATTATTTCTATCCTTAGGGCTAAATGAATCTTTGCTTAATGGTTTCATAAAAAATCATTTTGTTCAACTTCAAGTCTTATACAAACAGATATTCACAAGTAGAGATAATAATGGGAGATTTTTAATATACTTTTATGTACTTAAAAAATGAAATGCATATTTCTGAAGTAAGCCCTCAGTGCTTTAGCAATAGAGTATTGTATAAATGAAAATCTACTTTAAATGAAAGCACAGCAGAAATATATTTAGCTTAAGGGAGTATATAAAATGTTCATGCTGCCTGTTGAATATAAATTTTATAATGGAAAATTAATTTTATTGCTCAGTCATTTAAATGATTATTTATATTGTTTATGATAACGGGGCAAATTGTGATAAAATTGTAGCATTTAGGACAATACTTATGTATCAATAAAATGTGACATTTATCCTATATGTTAACATATATATATTTAACATATATATATATACACACACACACAATAAAAATTTTTAACAGACATATCCAAACTTATCCATGCATACATTTTCATTAGTCATGGTATTTTCTTCACAGTTGACAAAAATTATATGGGAAACACTTTGTCTTATCTTCTAAGTTTTATTTTATTTTATTTTTTCTAAGTTTTAATAAATACAAGAATAACAACAAAAAATGGATCAATTATTCAAAACACAATTTTGTCCTCATCCAAAAACAAATTCTCAATACCTTCGGGCTGAGAACAAGGTATTGGGGATGACTGGAATAAGTTTATGGTTTCCAGGGTGACTAATTTACAGGTGGCCTTGTAGTTCCCTCCGCCTGACTAAACTTTAGGCAGCCTTCCTTCTGACTCCAGGTCCTGATCTCCCTTTCCTTAGAGCATTTCACTTAGAAAATCTGTAATTGTTAATTATTTCTCTGCCCCTTTGAGAAGTAAATCCTTTTAAAAGCCTCTGGTCAGTTTTACAACTCAGGAATGTCTGAAGGATCTATTTGCCATGTCTTTAAAATGTAAACATTAAGAGAGATAGCACCCCATCTCCTACTTTCTGTGGGAGGGTAGTAGCCTAACTTGGTGACTGCTTTGCTCAAAGTTATAAAACTACCTCTTTTCATGAAAATATGAGATAGTTTACTTTTGTTTTGGGTAAGATCAGTTGGCAACACACGTTGTCTATGATCTTCATGCCTGGCTTTTCCAAAACTCTCCTGCCGTCTCTTTCAATGCAGTTGAGTTCATACTATAGGTACCCTTTATCCATAGTTTGACTTTCCATAGTTTCAGTTACCCACGCACAGTCAACTGCAGTCCAAAAATATTAAATGAAAATTCCAGAAATAAAGAATTTGTTAGTTTTAAATTACATAGTGTTCTGGGTAGTATAAAAATCTCGTGTTGAGAGACAGGACTAACTGGATTTCCTAGGCGAACTAAGAATTCCTAAGCCTAGCTGGTGAAGGTGACCACGCCCACTTTTAAACATGTGGATTGTAATGCAGCTCACACCCAACCAATCAGGTCGTAAAGAGGGCTCACTAAAATACCAATTAGGCTAAAAGCAGGAGGTAAAGAAACAGTCAAATCATCTATCATCTGAGAGCACAGGAGGGGGGACAGTGATTGGGATACAAATCCCAGGCATTCGACCTGGGAGTGGGCAACCCCCTTTGGGTCCCCTCCCGTTGCATGGGAGCTCTGTTTTCACTCTATTAAATCTTGCAGCTGCACACTCTTCTGGTCTGTGTTTGTTCCGGCTCGAGCTGAGGTTTTGCTTGCCATCCACCACTGCCGATTGCCGCTGTTACAGACCCACCATTGACTTCCACCCTTCTGGATCCCGCAGGGTATCTGCGGTCTTTCTGACCCAGCCAGGTACCCATTGCTGCTCCCATTCGGGCTGGAGGCTCACCATTGTTCCTGTGTGGCTAAGTGCCCAGGTTCATCCTAATTAAGCTGAACACTAGTCGCTGGGTTCCACAGTTCTCTTCTGTGATCCACGGCTTCTAATAGAGCTATAACACTCGCCACATGGCCCAAGGTTCCATTCCTTCGAATCCCTGAGGCCAAGAACCCCAGATCAGAGAACAAAAGGCTTGCTGTCATCTTGGGAGTGGGTGCCACCATCTTGGGAGCTCTAAGAACAAAGACTCACCCATAACAGTGTCACCCAGCTTCATCCAACCCACCACATGAATCATTCCTTTGCCCAGCATATGCAGGTTGTATGTGCTACTCACCCATTAGTCACCTAGAAACCATCTAGGTTATCTGATCGACTGTCGAGGTACCCCAATGTTTGTGTTGAAGTAACCCTATGTTACTTAATAATGACCCCAAAGCACCAGAGTAGTGATGCTGGCATATTGTTATAATTGTTGTATATTATTGTTAGTTATTTATGTTAATCTCTTACAGTGCCCAATGTATAAACTAAACTGTATCATTGGTATGTATGTATAGGGGAAAACAGTAGTCATGTACCACATAATGAAGTTTTAGTTAATGAAGGGTCACATCCACAATGGTGGTCCCATAAGATTATAATGGAGACCTGGTGAGGTAGCTCACACCTGTAATCCCAACATTTTGGAGGTCAAGGTGGGAAGGTCACTTGAGGCCAGCAGTTTGAGAACAGCCTGGGAAACATAACCCTGTTTCCACCAAAAATAATTTAAAAATTAGCTGGGCATGGTAGTGCATGCCTGTGGTCCCAGCTGTTTGGGATGGTGAGGTGGGAGGATAGCTTGAGCCCAGGAGTTGCAGGTCACAGTGAGTGATGATCACACCACTGCACTTCAGCCTAAGTGACAGAGAAAGACCTTGTCTCTTAAAAAAACATTATTATGGAGGTGAAAAATTCCTATTGCCTAGTGTAATGTTGCAGCACAACACATTACCTTTCCTATGTTTAAATACACAAATACCATTGTGTTACAGTTTTAACATGTTATACAGTATTAACATATTGTACAGATTTGTAGCCTAGAAGCAGTAGACTACACCATATAGCCTGGGTGGTAGTTGGCTATTCCATTTAGGCTTATGTAAGTACTCTCTATTATGTTCCTACAACAAAATTGCCGATTGATACTTTTCTCAGAGTATGTCCTCCACATTAAGCAATACACGACTATTTACCTAAAGGGCTCGATCCTGAGGTTCAGCATCCACTGTGAGTCTTGGAACCTATCCTCTGTGGATAAGGTCGGGGGAAGGTTTTTGTACTGTATTCTGGTCTCTCTCTATTTTATTGCAATCGCGTTCAATGAAATTTTTCTTGCCTGTTTAAGTTTGGTGTTGCTTTCACAGAGGAAAAATTTTTAAATTCATTCTCTACGTACTTACCTACCCATCTATTATTTCTAACATACTTCTTAAACTTGTTAGATGAGTTTGGGAGCTTATTCAAAATCATTCTCATCTTTTATTTTTCTGTCATATTCTTCAGGAAACACTATATTTATGGAGCAAGTAATGAGCATTGATGAAAAACATCACGAAACAATGTAATTAGTTCCACTTTGAAAGGACACTCTATTTTTTTTTATTGAGTTCTCACAGTGTGCAGACCTGTGTTCAGTAACTTTGTTTAAAACTTTTATATTATCTATACTTAAAATAGCTCAGTATGGACAAACAGCACAATATTTTAACTCTCCCTTTACTATTATGAAATAGAATTCATAAATGTATGACCTACTTATACAAAGAATGTTTTAAAAATTGAATTACTGCAACATAGAATGAAACATAGCTGTGACATAAAAAAGAGATAAAAGAAAAGTTATAATACAGCTAAGTGCATTTTTTTTTTTTTTTTTTTAAAAAGATCATGTACAATTTGTGCTGGAAAGCATAATGAAATAGCTAAATGTTTCACCAATGTTTAATATTACTGTGATGGCAACAGTCCCAAATGTAGACTGATACAGGGATGCTGTATTAATGGTTCAATTAGTACAAATAATATTGCTGTTGGTGACATTGTTTCTGAAATTATAAGCAATTCTTGATAAATATTTGAGCAATACAAAGTATTGTCCATTGACTCACATGTCACTTGCAATATTGAAAAATTAAGAGTTCCCTAACACAATGCAGAAACACTTTATATTTTTATGTAAAGCAAGGATGAAACCTGGGTTCAGATATGTATAAATAAGATAATCTCTCACGAGAATTGTCTGTCTGATAGATCATTTGGAATTGTATGGGATTCAATCTGATTCTGCTTTGTAAGATACTGTCCTAAGTCTTGCAACTCTGGCCCTCAATCACTGAGCACTCAACAATGATATTTGCTGCAACTGACTTCAATCAACACTTTAGGGAGTGTTTAAATTTTAAGTAACAGAATGAGTTGTTTACAATTCAAGGGTGTTTAATTAGCATTTGAAAGATTTTAATCAAAGGCCCATACCAGCCACAAGTATAGCAAGCCATTCAATTAGTGTTATCTTAA